GAATGGGCTATCTAACACTGAAAGAATTTTTCAAATCGGACCAGTAGTTCGGAGATTAGCGCGTTCAAGTAAACAAACAAACTCTTCAGGTTTATAATATTAGTATAGATTATTTGCAAAACTAACTCAGTAATTCAAAATATAACATACGTTTTTACACCGTTTCTCTAAATATCACATGTATTTTATCTACTTCATAATTTGTAGAACTCGTCGCCAAGAAATGAGTCGACGGATGGCGGCGATGCGTCGGCGCAGAGAGACGATCCAGCGCGACACGCTCACTATGTACGATCTCATCTTCTACAATCCCACCAGCAACCCTATCGTGTAAGTACTCATTTTACGTATCTTATAAATTAATGTAGATCTTGGACGTCCTGTGGCTGATATGATGATGATGATGATGAAAGCCTGGTCTGCAAGCACGTATAATTTTGTCCAATGACCTCAAGCTACCCATCCTTATCGCTCGCGCGTAATTATATTGATGTCGCGACTGTGCGACGGGCGCCCGCAGTGAGTGTGCGAGCTATTAGATACAATTAAATTGTTATGCATAAAAAAATTAAAAAAAATGATTAAGTAGGTAGTTCTTTAGAACAAAAAAATAATACAATGTAAACAAAAAGTAACCAAGTCTATCCTTCGTAACTGTGCACTTACTGGACTTTATTCATCTCTCGTTCCCACTGCTGCAATTCCTGTGTAGCCAGGGTTTAGAGCTTGACCGCCAATAAACATCAGTGAAAGCCAAGTTGGTTCCGCAAGAAAGTTAAACTGTCATTGGACCCACAACGAAATTAATAGGAGTATGAGTTTAAGCACCCATTCACCATTTAGTCAATTCTTTAAAAATCATCATCTTAATATTGAAATTAGCTGCTATTTAATATTTATGTTTATGATGGTTTCTACCAGGGTTCGAGGATATATATCAAGGGATATATATCAAGATATATATCGGATATATATCAAGCCGGTTTTGATGATATATATCAACTGTTAAAATTTGTTACTGTATTTGTAATTTTTGACATAAGATTTTTATTTTTTTAGTTGATTTTGCCGTATTTAAAAGAATATTTTATGTTTTTGCTTTATTTGTCTGATTTTAAGGTTTAAAAACATTAAAAACATGTTTATGTAGCACATATGCAATAGTATTCATGAATAATACAATAAAATAATAATATGGCTTTCATACAAAATTGATATATATCAAAGTTGATATATATCGGATATATATCATAAATATCCGATATTTTGATATTTATAATAAATATCGGATATTTTCGAACCCTGGTTTCTACCGTAACATATACCCTGTTGATTAGTTTTAGTTGTTATGTTGAAAGATGTGCTTTCACCAAAAATATTATTTTTTTTTACTATAGAATTATCACTTCACGGGATTTATTGCAACAATATCTATTTTAACGGTAAATAAAATATTTACCCTCCCGACGTTTCGGCTCGGTTGCACGAGTCATGGTCGCGGGCAGACTATAGTAAAAAAAAAAAATGCAACATAATAGTTTAAAATATTTTTTTTTTTTATTTCTTTCTTAACACAAACCGTTTCACAGCCCAGACCAAGACGAGATCAAAGCGAAAGAGGCTAACAAGAAGGACGAAGCGGAGCGCGCGGCGGCCGAAGCGGACGACGACCCCGATGACCCCGCGCCCGACGCCGCGCCCGTGCCGCAGATCAAGCTCGGGCCTAACGGAGAGATCGTGCTTGACGAGAAGAGCTTGGTGAGTGGAAACGAATTCATACAGGGTATCAAAATGTCGAGATCGGAGCGAAAGAGGCTAACAAGAAAGACGAAGCGGACGACGACCCCGCGCCCGACGCCGCGCCCGTGCCGCAGATCAAGCTGGGCCCTAACGGAGAGATCGTGCTTGACGAGAAGAGCTTGGTGAGTGGAAACGAATTCATACAGGGTATCAAAATGTCGAGATCGGAGCGAAAGAGGCTAACAAGAAAGACGAAGCGGACGACGACCCCGCGCCCGACGCCGCGCCCGTGCCGCAGATCAAGCTGGGCCCTAACGGAGAGATCGTGCTTGACGAGAAGAGCTTGGTGAGTAGAAAGTAGAAACTAATGTACAGAAGGTATTAAAATGTCGAGATAGAAGCGAAAGAGGCTAATTAATAAGAAGGAAGAAGCGGACGACGACCCCGCGCCCGACGCCGCGCCCGTGCCGCAGATCAAGCTCGGCCCTAACGGAGAGCTCGTGCTTGACGAGAAGAGCTTGGTGAGTGGAAACTTATTTTCAGAGGGTATTAAAATGTTGAGATCGAAGCGAAAGAGGCTAACAAGAAGGACGAAGCGGAGCGCGCAGCGGCCGAAGCGGACGACGACCCCGACGATCCCACCGACGCCGCGCCCGTGCCGCAGATCAAGCTGAGCCCTAACGGAGAGATCGTGCTTGACGAAAAGAGCTTGGCGAGTGGAAAGTACAGATGGATGACTAGAACTACGGTGGTAACTAATACAGTTGTAATAAGTGCTATTTTGGAACTATTTTGTGGCTTTTATAATTTCCAATATAAAAGAAGAAACAACTTTTTTAAATGAATTGTGGATAGACAGATATTAAATGTCCGTTCCGCTTAGCTTATGCAGTATTGGGCAATGGTTGATAATATAAAACAATGTCAGTTTACTTCCCCCTCCCACGTTTGTCACCCAATTTTTTGTATACCTCCTTGAACGATATGCCATAATACTATTCCTACAACACATCTTATTCCAGGTGATAAAACCGACAGACAGCAAGCGCAAAGTGTCCTCCGTGGTCCGAGAAGGCGCTTGGGCCAGTGGGGGCGGCAAATACAATCGCACCGCTCGCACCGCGGAATGGAGCGCAGCCGAGACGGTGCGGTTCTACCGGGCTCTAGCGGCCATTGGCACAGACTTCTCGCTTATGGCGCCGCTGTTCCCTGGACGGAATAGGAGGGACCTCAAGATAAAGGTAAGCTTGTTCGAAAGAGACAGACTGTAAACACAAAATATCCTCGTTAATACGAGGGCGCCTGCATGAATCTGAAACGCTATCAATGTAGTTTCAAGTCTATCTGTCATTGTCGCTCACGCTGGCATCTCGCTTTGCGTGAGAGGGATGGCAATATTCCAAGCATCGGATAACGTACATTTCGGAGTAACCCCGTTGGGCCATGGCCAATGCGAGAGTTCACAGGCATTTATAACGCAATCGGGTAAAATTCTTAGTTAACATCATGTGCGATTGCTTTCAAATATCTGCCTTGTTTTGCATAAAAAACGTTTTTTAACTCGAAATTAAACTCATTTTAGTTCAAAAAAGAAGAAAAGGTGAACGGCGCGCAACTAGACAAAGCTCTCCGTTCGGGCACCACGTGGGACCCGTCGCGGTTACAGGACGAATTCGCGGCCGAACGTGCCGAGGCCGCCGCGAGCGCCGAGCGCGAACGTGAACATATCGCTCGCCAGAGGAAGGCCGAGCGTGAGCGCACCGCTCTCGCCAAGGAGGTCAACTTACGTCAGAGTAAGTCACTGTATACTCTACGCTCTACTTCAAATACATACACTTGAGACCTACTTAACGTACGCATCTCTACGTCTGCATGACGTCATTACACCCACAAACAGTGTGAATGCGAGAGAGAACATGATGTCCGCTGTCTCATTACTCTTATTTGAACTTTTTGTTGCACCGTCTTCTGCGAATATGTGTGTTGAATA